GGGGGAGGGTACACAGCGGGGTATCAGGTGGCAATAAAAATGCCACAACGTGGATGAACCTGGAGGACGTGTGCTCAGTGAAAGGAGCCGGCCAGAGGGCCATGCGTCGTATGATTCCATTAGCATGACGTGTCCTGAGCCGGCACATCTATACGGAGGGATGGAAAGTAGAGGTTGCCAGGACTGGGGAGAGTGGGGGATGAGGGGTGACGGCTACGGATGCACGATTTCTTGGGGAATAGTGAAAATGTTCTAAAATGATTTATGGGACCACATGCACAACTCCATGAATATAGCAAACACCTGACTTGTCCGCATTAAGTAGGTGATGGCATGGCGTGGGAACTACCACAATGAAGCTACTAACAAGAGGAACAGGAGGGGCCCCACATCCTGGCTCTCAGGGGCCACACTGGGTAGTGTGGGATGGCTTATTCTCCTCAGTACTTCATTTGCCAACAACGTTACAATAATTTTTCATCAACAAACAAAAGAACTAAGGGATGCTATGTCTTTTTAAGTCTCCATTATGCCAGGAAGGAGTAAATATAAGTCAATTTGCCAAAAGTCTTGTAAGGGGTCTGGAGTGCCCCCTGCCGGGGAGCCAAGTTCAGCGCCTCAGGCCTCACAGGGCCAGGAGGCATTGCGGGCTTACCTGTGGGCAGTGCCCGGGGCCGCGCTCATTTTCAGGGGTGAACTGCTCTACTCATCAAGCTGATTCTCACCCCACTTTTCTTTCCAAGGTGCTGGTGACCACAGAGATGCCCGAGAGTTTTGGGGGAGCTGAGAAATGTGTAGATCGCTCCCAACTAAGAGAGGAGGAGCGGGGAGAGGGAAGGCTGGAGAGAGGGGGCAAGAAAAGGGGGGGGCGGTGGGGAGGCAGTGTGGCAGGTGAATGAGGACTCCGCAAGCCACGTGTGAGGAACCATGGGTGTCTGGGCTGCCCATGAACCCTACTGCTTTGCCGTGAGGCTAGTTTTCATGTTGTTTCCCTAACTGGGGACTTGGAGGCAGCAGGGCAGGAGGAGGCTGTGAGGAGTGGGGTCTGCTGGGAGAAAGGGGCAGGCACAAGGCAGATGATGCTGTGGGAGGGGGACGGCAGAGGTGGTGAAGGCAAACTCCTCAACGCTCTCCTCCACCTCCCCACAGAACTAGAATTTTGTGGAACAGTCATCAGAGCTCTGGGAATGTGTGTGTAAGAGAGTGAGTGTGTGTGAGTGTGAGAGTGTGTGTGTGTGTGTGCGTGTGAGTGTGTGTGTGTGCATGTGTGTATGTGTGTGTGTGAGTGTGCGTGTGTGAATGTGTGTGAGTGTAAGAGAGTGAGTGTGTGTGAGTGTGTGTGTGGTGTGTGTGAGTGTGCGTGTGCGTGTGCATGTGTGTATGTGTGTGTGTGAGTGTGTGTGTGTTAGGGCAGATTAGACAAATACACGTGCTCCTCATAAATCGCAGCTGTAAACTCGGAGAAGAATGTCTGGGTGGGGGGGTAGGACACTGACCATTTGCCTGCGGGTGCGCAACCTGCATTCTCCGCTCTGCACGGGCTCACTGGAACCGTGACCATCAGCCACGGCTGACAGCCGTCATTGCTGGCAAATTCAACTTCGGACCCAACACCTATTTTATGACAGCAAATGGACGTGCCTGCCTGAAGGTAAATTCAGTCAGCATTCAGTCAAAATGATTTAGCTGGCGGAAGTACACATGACCGGGAGCACTTTCCCCAAGGATGTTACAGTCGTGAAAACAAGAGGGACAAGGGATCCCACTTATCCGCCTGTGCAGCCTGAAGCCAGCCTTCTCTGCCCCTAAAATAGAAGCCCGAGCGCTCAGGCTCAGAGGAGGTGCTGGGGGCTGACCTCCAGTGGTGACTCAAGGGGCTCTGGGAGGAGCTGTCATTGTTGTCTCTGAAAGACTGGCGATGAATCACTAAAAGTTCTAAATAAAACAGAAGGAAAGAAGCAGCGAAGGAAAGGGAGAGGATGAATTAAAACGGACAAAGAGAGGGAGGAATGTGGGTGGCAGGATCCCACGTCCTGGGCACAATCCAGTGGTTTTCGGGAAAAAGCCTCTCTCTTTGCCGCTTCTCACCAGTGTCAGAGGTGACCCCCCGGTTTACGCACGGAAACCGCTCTCCATCGGGACTCTCTCTCTTCCCTTCTCTCACCAGCGGGTGCAGGCGCTCTGCTCTCCAGGAGCTGACTATTATCATCAGAACAGCCAGGCCCAGTGCACAGGCGCCCAGGGCCCCCGCCGAGGCTCTTAGGAAAGTGAGGAAGCCCCCTGCCTGTGGGGCAGGTAACCTGACTAAAGGGCTCAGGCTGGGAGGAAACTCCAGGAATATTCTGCTCCCGGGA